TAGAATTTTCATTTAGCTGCACCTTGTATTTTTAACCCTTTAATATGCTATCTTGAAATTTTAAAACTGTTCTTGCTAAACATATACAAAGTCCAAATCTAAGTCCATATTAAATGTCCAAAAGTTACTATATTCAGCCAATTTAAATGTATTTTTTTTGACAGATTGCCTTAATGTAGTAACTTTTGGATGCACATGTAGTATTTTTTTTTTTTTATATATATGGCCTGGAAACAAGACATGGGGAGTATAAATGTATGTGATGTAATGAATAAAGATAACAACCTTATGCCTTTCAGAATTAAATGTGGTTCTCTGTTATAGTTGTTATGTTGTGTTTATTGGGCTGACTGGAGGTACACTTCTAATATATACTGCCTGGACAGAAAGTCCCCACCTGGATTTAGCTAAGCAAATAGGTAAGAGCCTTCCATTGGATAAGTGTTATGATCAGGTGTTACTTCAGTTGGTCAGATATAGGTTCAGCAACGTTGTGTCCCCAAAAAGTAGGTCTGATGCCTACCTGAATTTGCCAAATGACCCCCATGGCACGGGCATATTCCAAGATGACAATGCCAAGATTCATGGGGTCAAATTGTGACAGTGTGGTTCAGGAAGCATGAGACATCATTTTTACACATGGATTGGCCACCACAGAGTCCAGACCCCATAGAGAATCTTTTGAATGTGCTAGATAAGACTTTATGCAGTGCTCCGACTCCCACCATTGCTACAAGATCTTGGTGAAAAATGAATGCAACTCTGCACAGAAATACATTATGCAATGGTGAATGCATGCCCTAATCAAAGCTAAAGGTGGTCTAACAAAACAGAGTGTGTGACTTTTTTTTTGACCAGGAAGTGTACAGTATATCTGAATACAAAGTCTGAAGTATGCAATACAGAGCTCATTTCAATATAAAAACATGTAAACGCAGGGTAGATAGTATTTTTACCTTTTATGGAAAGGAATACAAACGGTTTTGGCAAAATAACAAAAAAAGGCAGAGCAGTACAAAAGACGAGCCTTGTGAAATACTTACTATAAGACAGTACAAAGGGGGGTCCCCAGGACACTTTGAAGCTAGCCGTTAAAAAAGAAAAAAAACTGAACTGTCTCAACTAAAGCTCAGGCTATGTTCACACCATGTCAGGACCAGATCTGGTGCAGTGCGGTTTTGGTGCGGTTTTTTTGGGGAGGGGGGGACTTACAATGAGATTTCAGGTGCAGTCCAGTGCATTTGCATGTGTCTTTAATGCATTTACATGCATTCCAGACCAGAGTATTCTTTTTGTCTTACCCGGAACAGACTGCACTGGCATGAACAGACCCCAGAAATACTATATGGATACATTGGGATGCTTTTTTGGTGTGGACATGGTGTGAACTAGCCCTAAGGCTGTGTTCACACCATTTTCAAGACCAGATCTGGAGCATAGTGCATTGCATTTGTGCCGCGATTTTGCCGCAATTGGAATTTAAAAACATTTTTTAATTTATTTTTTTTACTTAAAATTGTCTTACAGATGTGTTCCATGCGTTTTTATGCATTTGTTATGCGTTCCAGTGCATTCCAGACCAGACAAAATAAGACAAGCAGTATTTTTCTGGTCCGGAACGGACTGCGCTGGTGGGAACAGAGGCCAGAAATAGCATAGGGATACATTGGGATGCATTTTGGGTCCAGAAACAGTCTGGTCTGGTCTGGATGTGGTGTGAACGGGCCCTAAAAACAGAAACCAGCTACAAGATCACAGCTCGAATACTGAATTGTTTACTTTATCTGTTCAGATGTAGCACTGTGCTAATGTAGAGCGTGCCCACAAACGTTTTAATTGTATATCTGTTTAAAGTGGAAATCTCTGACAAGTTCAGCGTTACCTCTGTTACATATGTTTGCAAAAGTATTGCTGTTGGCTGCCCTGGTTAGGAAGATCAGGGTCACTCAACCTGTTTTGTACCAATTATGCACCTCATTCTGTAAGGACATTTTTATTTTAAATCTATCAGGAACACATAATGCAGTCCGCCGCCCCGTGTGTGTGTGTGTATATTTTATACACACACACACACACACTATATAAAACATAACACAACTAATCTATTTTGGCTTTATCAGATGAAGGTGATGCATAATGCAGATCCTGCGCTGAGCTATTTGTTGGCCACTTTGTATTTTTCTCGAAGCATAGCAAATGTTTTATTTCTCATCCCTACTCATTTATCTGCTAGAGAGAGTGCGTGTGTATTTCTCCAGTAGGATTGATTTTCAGAGACCAAGCATTAATAATAAGGTCATCCATGCCTTGAGTGCCGTGCATTAAGTGACAGTAGTATGGCCTTTTTGTCATTCAGAAGTGTCAAGGCATCGCATGGCCGTCCCACAAAGTAGGTAGATGGGGTCTTTCAGCTGCCACAGTCGGTGCCTTGATGTCTGCCAGAGTAACCTGGAAGGTATTTGTGTTGTCAGTCACGGAGACATCACATTACTTTAAACTGTAACACAGCCTATGTGCGGTTAGCTGTCTTATCCATCAGCATGAGCAGATGGAAACAGTACATCATTTTAATGCACCTATTAGGAATACCCCCATAAGGAGAGAGACAGAGACTTATTCTGTGCAAATGGAAGCTACTAAGAGTTATGTTCATGTCTGTTTTCTAAATATGAGACTGTTCTAGTGCTATTAAATTGTATATTTCGAAATATACTACCATATTAACTGGCGTCAAGCTAATTTAGATTTTCCATATGAAGTTAGTGATCTATAAAATGTAGAATTTTACATTCGGTTACTGGGAAGGTAATTTTAGGCATTACATCATAAGTTGCTACTAACTGCTCAGTCCTGCTGTAAGAAGCCATGGGATTGCATCCATTTGATGATTTTTGTTTTTGTAGGTGAATGAGCAATTTGCTATTGAGCTGATTGCAGAACAACCTGTTAATGAATCAGAAAAACGAATTGTATCCTGTGATGGAGGAGGTGGAGCTCTGGGTCATCCTAAAGTTTATATCAACTTGGTAAGTTAATAACTGGAATGGAGTTGCATTGTTGTGGTCTTGCTAAAGGGAACCTTCTCCATATAATGTGAAAAGGTAAAGGCAACATCGATGTATAACATTGCTGATAAGGACGCACAAACGCATGTAAAAGTCATCTGCATAGGATATGTGCATGAGTTGTGCAATCTCTATGTTGTCTCTGTGCTTCTAAGCAGTATGAACTCTCCAGACAGTTTAATATAAGCTCATAGCACATTCATTGGCCTGTCTCAAAAGATTTTTGAGACAGGCCAATGGGTTGTGCAACCTTGTTGGTAATATCTCACTGGATCGAGACAGGTGAATATAAAGCTGGTGGGGGTGGAGGGGGGCTGGGGTCAAGACAAAATAAAAAGTAACTATACCAAATGCGCAGTTACATTTTTTTTATGCTGTCATCTTACTTCTGTTTGCATAATCAGTGTACACTCATTGCCTCTGTTTGGTGTTTGTGTATAGAAAACCTGTACTGAGAGAAATCCAAATTGCTAGTTGTGTGTCTCTGGCTTGAATGCTTCTGGCAGACTGGCTCAGGGCAAGCATGCAGATCCGGAGTTTCAGATGCTGCACTTTTTTCTTACTGGAGAGTTTTCCTTCAATCCGTAGAGAGTACACATGAGGGAGCGTGACGTTAAAGCAGAAGTCCATATACTGAGCAGCATTCACTTAATGATATATGAGCACCACTTAGTCCTGGAGTACTGTGAGCCCACCCTGCTTGATGGTGCGCCCCCTCACAGGTGTGTAAACAGCAGCCTTGGCTTATAGCCCACAAGAAATAGGCAGAATGATACAAGTGCCCTGCCCATAGAGGACTGCCAGTGCTAGGCCAGGGAGAAGGTTGGAGGCAGTGCTGGAGCGTTGAGAGAGTAAGCATATATTTGTTAATTACATTTTTTATAACACAGGAGGGAATTTAAAAATAATAATGTAAAAAAAAAACCTTAACAGTGTAGAATAATACAGCATATGTATACAATATTAACAAAGTATTATGTTTGTTATTTTTGTTTTTTCCCCCACAGGACAAAGAAACAAAATCTGGAACTTGTGGATATTGTGGGCTTCAGTTTAAACAGAAGCATCATCACTAAAATTTGCATTATAAATGACCTATGTAACATTATTAAAAGTATATAATAATTTAAATGCTGTTGTCTATTTGTTTAACATTTGTGCATATGCTGTGTAGAAATTCAAAAGTGCAAGAATTTTTGTTTGTTGATGTCCTGCAAAAGTTGAGATACCTGGGGGTTATGTTGCACGTGAAGGGCATATGGTGTGTGGTATTTTTTCCCCCTAATTACTCAGATTTTGTTGTGCAGTCGAGTCGGAAGAAAGTTCAACGGTTTACAAGCAGAGCATACATAGATCAGGCCAGTTATTTAATAAAAAAGCAAACCATAGATTTGGTCTGATTTATTCTTAAATGGATCAGCTGCAGGTGACGACATGGTACATTATTATGCTGCAGTCCATTCTGTGGGTTATTTAAACTTACTATCATTTTAGAGCTACCCGGGGAAGCTTTACCTTAGAAGACATCTTCGAGTGGAAGGAGACTTTCTGTACTAGACCATACGGGTTGTAATGTCACATGACCGATTGTGAATTCTGCTTCTACAACTGCTTCCACCTTGCCAGCTGTGTGATTTTAAACCTCCAAAGCTACTACTAGCTAACCCTGAACCATTACATCTGCCAGAAACTCAAATGTTTGGTAAATGTGTGCTACTATTTATCCTACCCAATAAATATTTCATATATTGGGCGTTTTTTGGCCAGGATATGCAGTTTGTTCCTGAGCCAGCACTATAAAGACAGTTAGAAGATTGGCCAGACAGCCGTGCTGCTGTCCTTTCCAGAAGGAGGTCATCAATAGCATCTTGCCTAGTTCTGTCAACACAGGTTTGCTTTAATTTAGTACTGGGAATTTGGTAAAGAATTGAGTGTTATGGGCTTAGAGTTAAAAGGAATGTATACTGTATAGATTTTTATGTTTTTTGGAATTATCATTTGTGAAACCTATTTTATTCAGATGAATATGAAATGCTGCATATTAATATTTAAAGGAGAAATATGAGGCGAGTAAAAATCACTCATCCTCATAGTTCGAGACGAAGTGTGAAAATGAAACTGTCACACATCGGCTTAATAGATCGCTCACTTCTCCATCATCTCCTTGCAGAGAGCCGTGACTGTCAGGGATTTCCCCCACCCTCCCCTCTCAGAACCTCCAGCACTGAGTGGAGGAATGGACGGGGAGGGGGCGGGTACAGCTGGCTCTGCCTCTAGATAGGCAGAACCAGCTGTCACTCATGCAACTGGGTCGATCAGTAATGTCGGGATCAGTCCCGGCTGCGGCGGTCTCAGTATACAGTTTACGCTGCCTCCTAATTGACTCTCCTTTGATTGGGACCAATTAGTGGAGCGTATTTATATGATTCACCTCCTGTCTCTTGCATCCACCCCCCTTCTGAGGAAGTCACATGACGAAACGCGTCGAGGAGGGTAGATGCTAAGTTTAGCCAGACACGAAGCTTCACGTTTGTCTCTGTGCTGTTTTTAGCTGGTCGGTATATTTTTTTGCCTTGTAAGCCAATTTTTGGAATAAAAGTTTATGGCTTTATATACTGCGCAATGAAGGTTCTTTCTTTCTCTTTTATTTATCTCTGAAAAACCCTGCGGGACAAACGGCAAAGTATATTATTATTTTTTCCCAAAAAAACCGGACTCCTCATCTGGGAGATATAGCCAAACGGCTTAGAGGAGAAAATCAACTGCTTCAGCTGCTGAGACCCGCGGGGAATACACCTGTGCTAAAACCTAATCCCGGCATCACTCACTAAAAGTTTTCTACCAACTTCACTCTGGTGAGTACCCACCCGAGAGGGACAGTTCGGAACAATTCGAAGCACATTGCTGTTTTTGCACATTTGTACATTTGCACACGGAACTTACCGTTCACCTGTTACCCGAGAGGGACAGTTTGGATCAATCTCAAGTACACTGCTATTTTTTGCACATTTTTATATTTGCACATGGAAACCACCTTTCACTTGGATTTTTTAAGCATTGGACACTGATTTTGACGTTTTAAACATTGTTCGTTTATTTATTCCATCTGAATGAATTTTAGTGGTTTTAATTGATTTTTGTATTTTGGTTAGACTGGTTATATCTATACTTGTTTATGAAGCTAGTCCTGTTTTATACTTTTATATTAGCTTCCATACTGACCTCGCCAGAATCAATTATAGCTTATTCTTTTGCTCATACAGCTACCTTTAGCGCTTTGTTTCTTTTGATCATACAGCGAGCTGTAGCTTGCGATATACACTGAGCTTTGGGTCACGGGAGGATGCTAGTATATGTCCTCCTGTGACCCTAAAGAGAACTATGGGGAAAAACACTTAGTTCTCTTTTTAATATTCACAATCGCATGCCAGCAGGTGAAGTATTGTTCTCATTTTCACATGTTTACCAGACTAGCCTTAGCTGCTTTATTGAAAAAGCCTGCTTTACCAAGCTTAATAGCTCAACTCAATGGCTCCTCTCCCACTCAATCTGTCCAGTGGGAGTCGTGCAGACTTCCAGGTTGAGTCCAAAAGCTAGGGGCTTCTGCTGTGTTCTCTCTAAAAAAAAAAATACATTAACAATAGGCATTATAGTTTCAATTTTATCAACACTTCCAGGAAATAGGTTCTGATGTTAACAATCACCTCACTAGCACTACGCTTATTTCAGTGGTGCAAATAAGAGGAGTGGCAATGCTCTCTTAGCAACAGAGTAAAATAACCAGTGTAGTTCTTACCTTATACAAGCCATACATTTGGCAGGGTTGGACCTCATTTGTCATTCAGCCACATAAACTTGCCACCCATGGGTTCAATAGTTTCCCAGTTCCCGGGAGACTTAAATTGGTGAAGAACTCAAATAAAAATGCCCTTTAAGTGGCACTTTAGCAATATTGTAATGTAGAATATATTTTAATGTGCCATTTTGATTGTTTGCTTGAAACAAAAGAAACCGTGGGTGGCAGATAGTTGTGGCTGAGCTACAAATTTGTCAGTGGTATGACCAGAACAAAGTGGGTTGTAGATTAGGCATAGCTTAGCGTGGCAGGGCCGTTATTTTAGCTTTCACTTGTTTTCAACACCTGCAAAGTGAATTAACTAACTTCCTTTATAACATGTCAATTTCCTGTTTCCTGGCCTTGCTAAAAGCTAGTTTTGGATGAGTTACTGATAGCCAGTATGGTTCTGGGATGTGTTTTTTTTTAGAAACAAACCCATACAGGCCACTATTTTGGGTTAACTTCTTTATTTTAGTAGCACTGGTATGGATCACCTCGTCAGTGCTTGAGGGGAGTTATAGCTGACAGAGCTCTGCAAAAAAAGGTAATTTTAAGCGATTTCTTATGGGAATTTCATTTTGGAGCTATTGTGGTAAGTTCTAAAAGGAGTCACTATAGTAAATGACGAGAAACAATACAGATGCAGGTAGCAAAAAGTTATAAACATTTTTATTTGCATCCCAGTTTCCAGCATCTCATAGGAATGATACTGTTCAACATCTTAACTCCAAAGGATGCCAGAACCTGGACTAGAGGTGGCTGGGAACTACTGATACTCATTAGTATATAGATAGGAATGCACGGCCATGTCTAAATTATAATTCTATAAGATATTTCCCCTACCACCTCAAATGACGGTGGAGAGACTGCTCCTCCCACCTACATGGAAGAGAAGTCCCTAACCACTCCTGCACCTTCAGCATTTTTGCTAGGATAGGAAGAAGACTTCTGAGTCTAATTTTGTTTGTTTTTTTTGTTTCAGGGCTTTTGGAAGCGTCTCAGGGACTTTACCACCTACCACCACAGGCCTAAGGCACCTGTGTCAAACTCGAGGCCCAGGGGCCGAATCCGGCCCACCAGGCCATATACTAGACTTCTACTTTCAGATCTAGGTATTAAGTTATTGCTAAAACCAGTGATAATCGAATGCAGAGGCATTTACGATAAATATTAGATACATTTATATAGTCTTACAGATACAACCGGCACTTTGAGGGCAACCATAATGTTGATGTGGCCCACGATTAAATTGAGCTTTATACCCCTGGCCTGTTATCTGCACTAGATATTTGCATGATGACATCACTGATTTTTTTTTTTTTAAAGCAGGCCTTGCAGTAGAAAGCAAGCAAGGTGTGCTCAAAGTTTTACCCTCCCCTTCACAAATAACCTACAATTAGTAGGTGTGAAATGTACCTGTAAAGAAAAGATTTAGGGTTTGTACTTGCCTCACCCACATCATCTGCCAGTGGCGCCTTTGTGAGGATGTCACACTCCTGGCTAGATCTTGGGGAATACACAGCAGTCAAAATCTCATGAGAAGATGCTCATTTAATGGACTGGAGTGTCTTCTGGTGAGATTTAATCTGCTCTGCATTTCCCAGAAATTTTTCTGGAAGGATTTAACATCATGCCCAGCATGTGGAAGACAGAGGTAAGGGAAATATAAGTAACTTTTTTTTGTAGAGATATATTTTATATCTACTAACAGTAGGTGATTAATAACAGGAGGGGGCCCGAGCAATTTAAGCGGACCTTGCATTTTACTGCAAAGTCCGCTTTAGGCCACTTTCACATGGTTGCCGTCTGTACCAATCAGCATCACAGATCACCTGCTCATGAGAGCAGTAAGGGATTTTTGGGACATCCGTGTCCATTCATGGATGAACTAACTGGACCCATGTTAGGTCTATGGGCTGTGGAATGTGCGCAGACCTGTGTTCCTTTACATCGGATTACCTTTGTCACGATCAGCTCCACCAAAATGGAACTCTGTTCCTTTTTTTTTTCTGGACCTAGACATAGAGCATAATTGAATGTCACTGGTTACATCTGGGCCGCCCATAGAGGCTTTCGATCAGATCTGCCTGAAAAAACTGAAGGACTGAACTGCTCATGTGAAATGGGCCTCAAGGTACCTTTTGTGGACTTCACACAAGAGACATGCTGTGCATACGATTGACTCCAGCTACTCCAGCAGTGTCTCCTTTTCCCTGCATGGTTGCTGGTGCAAGGAACTGCAGGATTTGAGGCTTTCCAGCACCGTAGAGGAGATGGCGCTTCCTTGCTGGCA